ATTTCATGTATTATATATCATTTAGTTGTAAAGAACCCGTAACAAGTATTGTACTTCAGCTTCTGGGTCAATGACCCCCATCTCGATTGGGTTTTCATCTGTTTTCCTGGTCCTCGAGCATATGCTTAGAAGACCCCTTGTTTTGCTTCTGGTCATAAATGTAACTTTAAATTATCCCCTATAGCACGTCACATACAGTTTTTAACTGTTTTTCAAGTAACTAACTAAATAAATAATGTAAATAGATAAATAACTAATTTAAATAAAAATCAATTTTCAATTTTTTTAAGTCTCTTGAAGGTCAAAATTGGCTGAGGGTCTGGTGGAGAAAAGGGGTAGCATGTGAATGGCGTGTTATCTCTATGGTGGAGATATTTTTTTCTAAATCAAATCTGTTCTTTAAAATTATATCATAAAATAATATCAATAATAATCTCTGAATTTTGAAGATTGCAAATTGAAATGATCAACTTTGTTGTTTAACCGTCCGGGAGATCTGTTAGGCTGGTGGATTTGTGAATGGTTATGGATAATGTAAATAGTATACTAATTCTAAGAACCTAAGTTCGACTCCCAACGTCAAAACAATGTTTGGAAACAGTTTTGCAGGTTCACGTACTACTATAATATTGCGTAGCCACAAACAATAACCAGAGAAAATGTGTGGTATTGCACATGGCTCGTACTTTTCTGTGACGTACATACATACCGAGAATGTTTGCACATTTAATGTAGTTGCATTTACCTCTATATATAGAGATACAAGATATACCTCTATAACAGTGTATGAACCTGCAAATTTCTAAAGTCTTAGAAATTTTTATAGGGAGAACTCCACCAGTTAAGACGTTAAATAAATGAAAAATGATTGATAAATAAATTTTCCATTAATTTTCTGCTTATTGAATACCGTCATCTTTTATCCTATAATTTATACTTTAAATATTAATTAATATTATGCAATCATTGTAATTGTGGGCGACAATAACGTTAATAATTCGATAATCGTCTAAGATAGATAGTGTATTCCGAACGGTTTATCAATTTTATGTAGTGTCAATGTAAAACCATTTTACTGCAAGATCAATCCTCCAAAGAAAATCAGTATAACCAACAATAATTAATTACTGATGAAATATAACAGGCATCTGATAAATGCTTCTTGCATTTGGTTAAATTTGGGTTTAATAATCAACTATTTGATGTTATCTGTGCTTATTGCGGAATGAAGCCATCACGAATAACAAAAACCAAGAATTTGCTTCAAAACGTTTCAATCATCCAGTCGCGGATCCACGTCTTCGCTCTCTCGGAAGGTAAATATTCTGAAATCACTGGACCAGAACTGGCTAAATTGAATAGCGCCGAAATATTGGGTAAACTTGAGTCGTGATTGATGCGGTTCATCAGAGTTAAAATCAGGTTGGGGCGCGAGTTAACGGCAGTTAATCTCGTAAGCGCCCCGGCGCAGATGCTCCGTTGCGTATGCTTGTCCGGGAACTTCCGCGCCATCGTTTTCTGTCCACGCGCACTCGCTCTGAGTCACTCAGCGAATTACGGAAGTTGGGAGGGGTTTGCGCCTCTGCTTCCCCGCCCCGCCCGCGCCACACAACTCCCTACCAGGCGGAACCACTGAGCTTTCAAAGTGGTGCTTGCTAGAGATAGTTAAAAAACGTACACACATAATTCGCCATTTTTCTCCCTTTCCATAGACCTTTGTAACAATTCTTCTATTCCTTCAAGTAATTGTACAGTCGCCGACACAAAAAGTGGTCAACGGCCGAGCCGCTGTTACCTGCACATTCTGGCAATGGTGTATGGAGGATAGCGCCATCTGGTTCTTTCATAGTTTCCTAGTACAAATCATTCTCAACCAACTGCCAACGAGCGTCAACTCATAGGTTGGATTTCCTCCGATCATCTCCACCATAAACGTTTCCTGTGATGGTGTTTTCATCTTAAAAGATGATGGTATTGGCGCAGAAGGTACTGGCGGTGGCGGAACAATTGTATTTTTCAAAGCAAATATGCATATAAAGCAGGTTATACTCTTCTATCGTATGTGTAAAGTCATATTTCAATTCACGATTAGACGAGTGAAAAATTGAGAAAATGGAAAAAAATATATTTTAACCGCTGATTGATAGCAGCTAGTAAGAGGTTGGGGAAAAACTGAAAAGCTAGCGCAGACTAATAAGATTAAGAAACTAGCTAGTACGAGAAATATATTTTGCCTGTACCAAAAATCTGTTTCGTACCCATTATAATCTTTGTATCTTATAACGTGGAGAGTGGAGTATCTATAACAAGTACAGTTGGTGATTTTAATAGAATGTTTGCACGAGGTTAGTCAACGACAAATGAGTACGATTTTGCGTCAAAACTCAGAACTTTATCAAGCAATTACCAATATTGGTGTTTCTTCTGAACGGCGCAAACATTGAGAAATTGGTGTTGTGGTAAGATATCTTTGGCATTTTTAAAATAATTCAAGATGTTGTCAAAAATATTGTTGGCAATGACATCTTTAATTATTTTATTGAGAAATTGGTCAGCCCTCAGAAATAATACACAGTTCACCATTTGTCTCTGCCACCATATTATGTTCATCTCACCTGACGGGTGTTAAGGTTTATGTAAACGAAGGTGTCATGAGGAAAAACTACGCGGAAAGTTGGACATATCACTTATTTTTTTCCACTAACGTTCAGTTTGTTTCGACATTTAAAACATTGCATGTGAACCAGTGATGACAGTTAATACTGAAAAGAAAATAAAGCAGTTAGACAAGACAAGTAAAGCAGACAAGACAAGTGAGATAATTTTTACCGTGACATCGAAGACAGACCACCATTACTGTGAAAAAAATACAAGTATTTACTCACTAAAGTCTTTAGGAGTGTTTAAAGGCTTCGTGAATAGATTTTTTATATATGCGACTTATACGGCCTTTGTCAATGTGATCATTTTCTGAAAGACCATGATCTAGTGGAACTAGTGGTGTTAGAGCAGCACATATTTTCTCGTATTATTTCTAAGTGCTTTGACATACTACCACAAGCATGCAGAAGTTTTTTCAGCCAACAGAAGTTGCTTTCGCAACGAGAGACGAACTTGCGTCCTCTAAGCTAATTCGTCGTCAGCCGTACCTCTACGCTAAAGAAACAGTTAGGGTTAAACCCGGGGACCAGCACCATATTTTTTATCGTCCCTTGCTACATACGAGGGGGAAATTTAAACAAAGTATTTGAAGCTGTTTTTGAGATTTATTTTCATAAAATGCATAAATTTCAGACACAAATGAAGCAAAATCCTGTCGTTTTCTAAGAAATTGTACATGACCATTTTTAAAGAGCTGATTTTTTTACAACAATTTGTCTTAGGAAAATACTCTCTATCTTCAATTTTGTAATTTTGAAATGTCATCTCTTTTCAATTTTCAAGAAAACGGAGAGTTTGTCGAAAATAGTACTAGCGCCTTGTTGTATAGTCCCTTATTACTTATGAAGAATAATTAAATAAAAAACTTTAGTGATTTTTGAAAAAAAATGGTTAAAAATAAATTTCTTATATTTCGCGCAAAATACACGAAAACTACCCATATTTTCGAAAAATTGAATACGAACATACTTATAGGTCTCTTTTCAGGAAACAGATTTCATTCAGGAAAAATCTCGATCTTCAATATTGTAGTTGTAAGAAGCCCCCCCCCCCCAATGCAATTCTGCAATATTCGGAAAATCAGGAATATCAAAAAAGATGAGTCCTGCGCCATTCCCTTAAGCGTCCTTTTCGGTGTCAGATAAGAAAGGTCAGTTAAAGAGTTTGATGCAATTTTTGAAAAAAATTGAAAATGTTTCTGAGGCTTCATGTAAACAACCCTCAAGAATGAAAGAAAATCATTTGAAACTCCTAAAGCCTGGAGTACATTCAGATCGACCGGTATATATGAATTTTGGAGAAAATTGGGTGAACGTTTTAGGCGCTAGCACTGGCCACAGACGGACGGACTAATGTTTTGGTCTCGTAGATGTTTCGGTGTCAAGGACCCACAAAGCGAATTGTGGCTACACCACGTGATAGAGGTAGTAATTTACTATATACAGCAACAGTATTTTTCCGCTTTTTTTTACCAGGATCCGGCAATAAGATAAGAAGTGCTCCGTTTCTGGACGCACATTACTCTTCTTGAGAAGTTGCTTCGCAAAGGCGAGAAAGCGAGAAGGATTTTCAGCCCGTTCGTGCAACGCGCGGCGTCCCTCCTCAAGTTCTACAAACTTCCTTCGCGATGACCTTCGTTTTCGTCTCGCACTCTGCCTCTTCCGATTGGTGGAGGGGGAAATGGTATTTTGTGATTCTAGATATTGTTCATGGGCACACTGGCACTTCGGTAAAACTCGAAATATACGAATTTTGAATCATGACGTCTGGTTTATGACATTTCATCATCTCTATTACTGACGTTAAATCTACTACAGACTTCGTCCATTTGAGTTTTGTTAGATTCCAAGTGAGAAATTTCCAAATCAATGATTAAGTTTCATATTTGAGTATCTTAATGGAAATATTTGATTCTGTTATTCCGCCGTTTCTCTTACTGCAAGTACCGATTCAATGCTCACTCTATATCACTGCTTACGACACAACCGACGCCATTTGACAGGAAGATTCAAAGAGGCCGTATAATACAAGAAAGATGACATCAAAATATTTACTATTTGCGTGTTGCTTTACGGAACAGTAACATTTTTTTTAAATCCTAGTATGTAAAGAACTGCTGTACTGTAAGTATACTTCACTATGTTGTTGCAGTATTCGTGAAGGCTGTTTTTGTTAAAATATTTAATTTATTTCTGTGATATGCTACAGAAATTTAGTTTTTGTTGAGCAGTGTATGTGCTACCTTTTAGATAACCAAGTTTGGTGTTTTTTTTCAGCAACATTTATACTGTTGCAAACCACTAGTTTTTTATTTAATAATCCTACTTCTCTTGTTGCAGGGTCCAGTCCGTTTCTATGACAACGAGCGTAAAGCCAGCATTCTGCTAAAACAGTTTCAAAGTAAGTTAGACATACCTTCTTAGTAATACCCTTCTTTCAAGAAAAAAAGGTGAACGTCAATGCGCTTCCATCATTATGAAGTTGACGAACAAAGTGGATGTGTGGCAAGTGTTGACCGAATATCTATCGCACAGAGTTGTCGCTATCGTACAACCTATTTATTTTCCATTTCAACCGTTGTATATTATTGTCTCCTGTTTCATTTTTGGGCGTCGGCTTGTTTACGCTAACTGTATGATCAGTCTTCGAATGAACAATCCACACCCAATACAAGGGACAATTTGGCGGTGCAGTAACTACGCCAAACCATCGTGCTTTTGATTGTTTCAGGAGGCGGGGAAATGTTCTATCCTCATTATGATGTGTGACTCTGTGCATACACGGAAAAGGAAAACCACCTGGAATTCCAGACTTTCTCATATTTTCACCTGTAAATTCGTACTTTAGAACGGTATAAAAAAGCTTAGTAGCAGATTTTTCACACATAGATACCTGCGCACTGCTAAGTATTTAGGAAAAGAAGAGACAGGAGAAGAAGAAATTGACTGACCCCTCTTCTTTGCATGATGCGTCCAAGGAGCATTTGCACCACTATACTATTGAACATTTACATTAGCGCAGTATAACTCCGAGCAGTTACGTAACCTAGAGTTTCCTCGTACACCCACTCCTTATAGGGCAATTGGTAGTGTAGCGGTCGTACCGCTTACGTTCCACTTTTTGGTAGTGTCAGACAATCCATTGGCATTTGTGGAGGACAAGGCAGGTGCGCAGAGGGCGTCTGCGTTCCCTCGTTTCCCACAGCTCTCATTCCACCATTCACCCATCTTTATACAAGTCATGGCAATATCATCACCAATTTTTCATTTTGTGTAACGTTAAAACAAAGGTTTTTTTCGTTCAAATTCGAATTTGTCTGGATTTCTAGGCCAGCTAAATAACCGTGAAAAATAACGCACTTATCTCGAGACAAATAGTTCTGGAGGTCTATTGCCGCGTTCGATCTCCTCCGAGGCTTCCTCCCGTCGGTAGCACCAAAACAAGAAACGTCCAAACCAGCGAGCCCTGGGTTGAGCGTGATCCTGCCTTCCTAGTCCTCGTTTCATTCTTTAACAATTCACAAAGTGAAATATGCAAAAACAATACGATGAAAGCTTAGAAATAGACCCTTCCAAAGATACTTTTAGTTACTTTTGCCCTAGATTCTAGTTCTAATTTCCCAAAAGTATTAAATTGTAAATATTGTGCACTTATATATTTTTTCTTAACAAAATCAATAATGCCATTGAAAGCTGCTGTCAAAATCGACATCGAATTCCATATGAAATTCAACGAAAAAAAGAGACAAAGAAATTCATAAGGAAATGATAAAATTGCTCCGCGATGCGTTTTTTACGTAATTTGACATTTGGAGTGACAGTTGTCATTGATCAAATCTGTTTTTGATATCGAATTCGAATTCAGTGACCTCAAAAATCAATAGAAACCCATACTCCCAAAAACGCGTCAGAGTAGTTAATTGAAAAAATTATGCAGTAAAAAAATAATGTATATTTTTAAAACGTATTATAAAAATCACCATTCTGTCCGCACGGGTTAATTTTTTATTTATTTATTTATTTAACGTAAAAATTATATAACAGCAGCAATTTTGGCAATAAGTGTTCAAAAATATTCACTTCCGTGTTATACAAAATCAGTCACAGATTTGTCTATTACCCCTTATCAAGCGCTTCGGGAAGTAATGGACTTACTCGAGAACATGGAGAACGATTACTTCAATAAATATATTTCCCACTGAATTTAAAAAATCGTGCACAGATAATTAAACTATATTTTTTTCTCTTTTTCTACTTCGTCGTCATTGTTCCGCGAAATTGGCCGTCGTAAGAAGAGTAGGTATTGTAATCATGCCCCGAAAAATCCGAAATTTGCGACAGAGAAATTGATTGTCGGCCCTGGTAACAAAAAAAACAAAAAAATTGTTCCTATATAAAGTAAAATACCATTGCAAACACGTTTTTTTATTTATTTAAGGGCGTCTCTACCCTCCGGCCAGAATTGGAAGGAATTAGTACACTTGGTGGGGGGGAAAAGGTCACTTAGGTTAGGACACTTCACAGTGGGTTGGACTTACTACTGACAAGTAACCAAGCTTATTTAGTCGAAACAAATTTCACATGAGATTATCTGGGAATTCCAACTCGGATCTCCTTGGTAAAAGGAAAGCGACTTTCGCTCTGACCCAAGAGATGGTGTCGAACACGTTGTTTAGGCCAAACCCCTCGTGCCGCCGCTTTCTCTCCCACTCCAGTCCGTCCGCCTGTTCCGTCCGCCTGTCCGTCCTGCCCTCCGTCCGTGTACGGCCTGTCCCGTCTGCCTGTCCGTCTGCGCTGTCCGTCTGCCCTGTCCGTCTGCCTTCCGTCTGCCTGTCCGGCTGCCTGTCCGTCTGCCCTGTCCGTCTGCCTGTTCCCGTCTGCCTGTCCTGTCACTGCCTGTCCGTCTTGCCTGTCCGTCTGCCTGTCCGTCTGGCCGTCGTCTGCCTGTCCCGTCCCGCCTGTCCGTCCGCCTGTTCCGTCCGCCTGTCCGTCCGCCTGTCCGTCCAGCCTGCCGTCCCGCCTGTCCCCGTCCGCCTGTCCCTTCCGCCGTGTCCGTCGGCCTGTCCGTCCGCCTCCCCTGTCCGTCCGCCTTTTCCGCCGCCTGTCCGTCCGCCTGTCCCGTTCCGCCGTGTCCGTCGCGCCTTCCGTCCGCCTGTCCGTTCCCGCCTGTCCGCCGCCTGCTCCGTCCGTGCCTTCCTCCCGCCTGTCCGTCCGCCTGCCCGTCCGCCCTGTCCTCAGTCCGCCTTCCGCGTCTGTAGAAAGAGCAGTCGAATGTGTAATTTATTTCGCTTCCCGGAACCAAATATATGCATTGAGTTTCTGTAAATCGTAAACCAATTACCATGTTTCGTTGAATATTTATGTTTCTGCAATGCAAATTTTTGATAGAACGTATGTGTTCCAAACCAACTTTTGAGTGCTATATCTTGCGGCTCAGCCATTCAGTAAACATCGAAGGGAGTCGCATGAGGACAAAATATGCTGAAAATTGTCTTAGAACCTAATTTTCGAAGTGTGGGGCGCCATCCCTCTGTAGATCTTTCCGTGCTTGGTGTCGTTTCCATTACAATATATTTCTCGGTACTTTCATAACATTCCGCCTGCATATCGTGAGGATCCCATACCGGCGATATAAAAAAGCAAGAAGCTACTTATTGCTGTCTACGACTAGGCACCGTTTACCGCCTGCAGTGCCACTACCCGCTACGCCCGATCTGCCCTATCTTCCCGGCCTAGCGTTTTGCGTCCGAATCCCCGCCTCGCCTTTTCCTCCCCCCTCCCCCCCGCGCCATTGTCTCGCGTGCCGATCGCGCCGATCGCCCTGGCGGTCATAGGCGCCGCGGCTTGCGGTCCCGACAAAGGCCCCGCCCCGTCCCCGCCCCCGCCCCACGCCCCGCGCGGCCCCGACCCGACCCCGCTTCGCGCAGGGCTATCGACTGGCCTGGCAGGCGCGGAATGCCGCGACACACGCTCGTCGCTTGCGGAGCCCTGAGGTTGCGAGATCGCCAGCGCGCCACAGGTCGTTTCTCGCTTCCCTTGACCCCTTCACGAAATGCTGAGAGGTCCCTTGCTTTGCTCCCCAACGACGAATGTAGCTTATCTATCTGCGCACGTTTTCGTGAGCTCTGTCAACTCTTCATGGAAAGTCTACTAAATTTCTCAGCGGTACCGTAAAAGAAAAGGCTTACATAGTTCCGGAATTCAAATAATTTTTTTTTACACGGGAGTGAATATTTCCTGGTCTCAAATGTTTCCAAAAACACTCCTACTTACGTAATTCGATCTAATTCAAGTATGGTTAATTACGCTGAAAAATATTTCCGGAGATCTAGGAAACGCGAAGGATTGGGAGGTGTCGCTGATTGGGAGGTCCTAGGATTCGAAACCTGACGTGTTGGACTTCGCTCAGAGCTGTATGGTTCCATCATATTCAGTCGTTTCCTGCAGAAGAAGTCTCTGAACTGAGTGTCTGTTCTTAACAATCGCCTTCCAACGCCATACCTGACACCGGAGAACACCAACAGGGACCGGAGTCAACAGCCCTTCCCCAAGAATGAATTGTAAGAGATCTGACCAAAAAATTTACTATTTCTGAACTAATGCTACATGCATTATGTAACGGAGACAATTGTGCTTTTCAACAGTACTATTTAGCTTTTGGATTTCTTGGCCATCTCATTTTTCTTTTCGCATTGTACCATACAAGTTTGTTGATATCATTCATACTCTTTTCCTTTTATGCATCCATTTCGTAATCGAATTCCGCTGTAATTTTTTTATATACAATTTCTCCCTTTAGATTTTGTGCTATCACTCGACGAAAGCCCTTTCTATTCTTACGGTATGTTTTTATGAAGATTTTTTTTCTTTCTGATTAAATTTCAGCCAATTTCAGGCTCCCTGGTCCATCACACAGAAAAATCATGTACACTTTTTGTCGCTTAGTGGTTGAAATTCGACCGTACTTCATTATATTTTTTAAATTTGTAACGTTGGTGAGGTCCTTCTTTCAAAATGTATACCTGTACAATTATTCCATATATTTATTTTAAAATGTTGTTCTATTACTTCATCTGCCGGGCGTGTACAAATAACTCATTAGCGTGTGTTGTTTGCCTTGATTCGCTGCAACCCTATAAAATTTGAAAACTTATGAAAAGAGGAGGATCACTGGGCTTCCACCCCTCCCGCTTGGCTAAGAAATGTAACGGAATCTGGTCTCGTGACCTCAACCGCAACACTCTCTCCAGTGCCCTTTTTAAGTACAATGTTAAGTAAAAAAATAACACCACTAGAACTTTTGTAAAAACTAATATCGTTCACATGCGAAAATTATTAATAAAATTATTATTAATAGTATCATTTTCC